ACCGGCGCCAGGCCGGACATGTACGGCACGACGAAGACGAGCGCGAATGACAGCAGGCCGAAGCCGAGGGCGAGCATCTTGACCGTCAGCCCAGCCTTCCGCTCAGTCAGCTTGGCCTTGAAGTCGGTGCCGTCCATCTCCGCGAACCAGATGGCGGCGAGCGAGTTGAGCCCCGTGGACACCGTGCTGGCGAGAGGAGAAAGAGCTTGCGTGTAAGGCGAGGGGCTGGTTATCGTCGTAGCCGCTCTGGCAACCCGGCCCGGCTTGGTCCTCCAGGCAGCTTACCTGAGGCCGGCGCTGAAAATGCCCGCCACGAAGAGGCCCGGGAAGCCGGAGAGGTCGCCCGCCGTGTCCATGACGAAGAGCGGGAACAGCTGATCGGCCTTGGACACCCGCCCCGCCAGGATGGGGTCGCACATGGCGTACTTTGCAAAGATGAGCATGCCGGCGTACACGGTGAGGAGCACGACCACGGTCCACCCCGCGCAGTTGATCCAGAGCATCTGCCGCGCCTGCGCCACCGTGCGCACCGTGAGGTAGCGCTGCACCTGTAGCTGGTTGGCGCCGTACACTGCAGTGTGCAGCACGGCCGCCCCCACCAACGTCGACCAAACGGAGTAACGCTCAGTTGGATCCGCGTTCCACCTGGAGTGCAAGAAAGAACTTTTGTTAATCTGCGATCAAACTTCGCAAAATAACAAAGTAAATTTGACTGGCGCCTACTTGAACAGATCGCTGCGGCCGTGCTGAGCGTTTGTTTCCCAGACCACGCCAAACCCACCGATATCAACGGTGCCCTTTATGAGCACGGCAAACATGGCCACGTATAGGACTACAACTTGGAATGTGTCAGTCCAGACCACCGCCTTCATGCCACCCTGGAACAGTCGAAGGTTTTGGCTTCAAACCCGTCGGCTTTTGTAAGTGTATGTACGACGAAATATGACAAGAGACGCACTTACAATGGTGGTATAGAAGATGACGACAAAGTACATGGCGGTGACGACGAGCAGCGTGTGCAGGCCCGTCACTGCAGAACAGAGAAACAACACTGACGCGTCTGTTGTCATACAAAGGCGGCCGGCTGGCCGTCAAAAGGATATAAGGGTGTGAACTGTGCAGCGGCAGCGGCAGCCTTACCTTGACTGAGCGCGAGCGCGGGGGCGTACAGGACCAGAGCCAGGTACAGGATCTGCGAGCAAACAAAGCGTTTCGAGTCACGCACACGGGCACTAGTAGTAAGCCTCACCATCACTCTCCTGCCATGGGGACACACATCTAGGCCGGCCATGCAGCATGAAGCTCGGGCCAGACGGGCAGTACTCAGTACTCACCATTTGGATGGTGAATAGGATGGACGCCAGGCGCTGCACGTTTCGCCCAAAACGGATTCCGAAGTACTGCAATCAGTTCACGCAGGGTGAGTATGTCAGGATGGCGTCCGGAAACCAGGTAATTGGGGGGCGGTGCAAAAAAGATATATGGTAAACATGCTCACCTCGTACGCCGACGTGATCTGCAGCTTGTGGAAGAAGGGGATCATGACGTAGTTGATGACGGGGATGGCAAGGAACGCGGCCACACCGAAGAGCCAGAGCTGCGGCCCGAACAGGTACACCTCGGCGGGCTGGCCCATGAGGGTGATGGAGGAGAGGAAGCTGGAAGCAAACACACCTGTGTGAGGACAGAGCGGGGTGACTCAACTCGATGGCAGTATTTACGCGCGCAGTGCGTGGCAGGGCCCGCGGGGCCCGCGGAGGGGTGGGGGGGCAAGGGGGGGGCTCAAATAGTCACGATCCCCACCATCTCCATCGCCTCCAGTGCCGATGGGACGCGAGCGCAGGCTATCTCGGCTCATCTCGCGATTCACGCGGTGCGGCCCAGGCAGGCGCCTCACTCGCGGCTCAAGGCAGCGCTGCTGCCCCCTAATCCAGACGCGTTGTTGATAAGGCTCAAGTCGATTAGGGCGATACAGCGGCGCGCGGCCGCGCTCACTTAGTGCGCCCCGGGCCGCAGCAGCAGCGGGGCAGCAGCGGCTATGTCAACCTCTCGTTTTTGTTTCCGAGCGGACGCGCGGACGGGCGCAGGGCAGAGGCGATATGGGTCGTTTTGAGGGAGGCGCGGGGGGAGAGCGCATGGCCTCGGCATTGCGGCGTGTTAGCTGATGGTGCTCGGTGCGCTTGCTCGTTGCTGCGACCCCGACCGAGACCTTGCGGCCGGGGGACTTCGTGACTGCCGCCGCTTCACACCTCGCCCAGCCCTGTTCCCCTATACAGGGCCCGCAGTCCTTACCTCGCCAGCATGGACAGCGCGACGGGCAGCGTCCCCATCTGGCCGCTGCCCATGAGGAACTCCTCGGCGGAGGAGTCGGACGGGCGG